CTGGTCACAAATTCTGATTGGTCACTTGCAATGTTGATCCTGGAACAACATTTAGTATGATGATCTGGAAGAAATTGCACAAGAACAAATTGTGAATATATATAATATATTATATATATATATATATATATATATATATATATTAGGGGTGCAACGATACACAAAATTCACGGTTCGGTTCGGTTCGATACTTTGGTGTCACGGTTCGATATTTTTTCGATACAAAAAAAATGTTCATGCCTTTTTAATTTGTCATTTATTAAATTTTCACGGCACATTCCGCACCACATCTCTGTGCGTTCATCATTTGTTTGAAGCCAGCTCACCTCCTGCAACCACTTTTCCGAGAATACGCGCTTCTTTTGTGGTTCGGACTCCTTCTGACATTTCTTTGGAGGTGGAGGAACACCAAAGTAATTGCTTAAAGGAGCTTCTTCGACATCTTTAAGAGTTCTAAACAAATGTCTGTCCTCCTGAAAATCTTATGTACGCAAACACGCGTTGCAACTTCTTATCTTGTGCGCATTTTTTATTTTGACAGCGAATGCGCACCTGCGGACCACTTATGTGCAGCCCTGGTTATTTAGCTCGTCATATTGCAGCCACAGAAATTCTTTTGTCCATGAAACCATAAAGCTGCACTTTCTTTTTGCCTTATAGTCTGATTTGTCATAACTTCCGTTTTGTGGTAAGCTTTTCTTTGGCTGTCACTTCTTCACCCTGACCTGTCTTATTTGGCTCAGCAGAACTAAAATATATATCCTGCTGCTTTTACACACGCACTCACATAAGCTCAGCGATTCTCTGCGCGATCAACCTCTCACATGTTTAAGCTGCGGGAGATTTCACTTGTCATGTTTGCATAGTAAGCTAACGATTGATAAGACGATGTCAGAGGAATTGGTGCGCAAATGATCGTCACTCACCAATCAGTGCTGTCGCTCTCTATACACAGTTCACGCGATTGCAAAGTGAAAGCAAAAAACAAGCGCAAATTCAAACGCGATTTCAATATGTCACATATTGACAGTGGCTCACCGATGCCAATGACATAATTACCCAGCTACATTTCCGAAAGAATGCAAAAGCATTGACATATATTTTTCCTTCCTGCGATAGCCCGACGGGCAGGGCAGAGAGAGATTTTGGTAGCCCGACTGGAAAAATTTTGCGAGCCCTGTATCTGATTGAGGAATCACTCATCTTTGGAAAAGAGAGTTTATTACAGAGAAATGTCTCTTTCCAAAATAAAAGCTATACTATACGCTTCTTCTGGGCTATATTCTCAGCAGCATATTAAACATATCAGGTCCCCATAAGGAGAATCATGTGCTAACGGCTGTCTAAATGACTCGGGTAAAGTTTGTAGCATGCGTGCTTGTTGTTTTTGTTGTTCAATATCGACACGGTTCAATATCGATACGAGTATCGTTGCACCCCTAATATATGTATATATTAGGGGTGCAACGATATTCGTATCGATATTGAACCGTTCGATACAGTGCTTTCCGTTCGGTACGCAAATGTATCGAACAATACAAAATTTTTAATTTATTTTATCACCTTTCCTTCTGACGATGCTGTCTGTTTTGAGTGCTCAGAGGATCTGTGGTTTGTGATTTGTGGTTTCATTTTTAGCAAATAGATCTCACATTGAAAGTCAGTGGATTGTATGAAAAGATAACATTGCAATGAATACATTTTTAAATACTTGTCTTTTGTTCCTCTTCCAAAGTGAAAGCCAACAAGACAGACATCATCTGGTTGTCTGTATTTTTTGTCACAGTGGGAAAGTAGGAAGAGGATATTAAAAACATCTATTGAAGATTTATGGAAATATATATAGTTAATCTCAAAATGCTTGTTATGTATTTTATGCATTTTCAGATTATTCATCATAAGTATTTGAATTCAAAGCTTGTTAGATAATATTTTGACATCTGATTTGTTCACATCAGTGGAATGCTGACTAACAATGCTGATGACTGGACCATGAAACTGACTTAAAAGTTGTTCAGGAATGTTGTTGTTTTCTTTTCTTTTTTTTTTAAATCTTTTTATCTTTGCATCTTCAACTGGCAGTTCAAAACATTTCAATAGAATTGTGTGTGGGCATCACATACTTGTGAAGCAAGTATATAATGCCCGAACAAACTGGTGGCATCACAAGAGATCAGACAGCACAAGGGAGGCTGAATAAGGATTCTGTCAATTACGGCTCTAGGGTGAGGGTCTTTGGTCTATATTTAAATTTAGTGTTTGAGTTTGTGCTAGGCGTTTTGTATTACAATTTATTGTGTAATGGTTATTGTCATTTATTACACTTAACCTGAAGCTATGATGAAAAATAATATTCTATTGTGATATTTTTTCACACCGTAGAAAACGTTTTTTTCTCTGCAGACAGTACATTAAACCCTAAATCTTTTCAACTTTAGCTGTTGCCTAAAAGTGATGAAAAAAAATGTATCAAGGTAAAAAAAAAAGAAGAAAAAAGCATGATTATTACTTCTACTGTCTATGTTATAGTAGTGTATCCAGTAAAAATGGCTATACTGTTAGAAAATCGGAAAAAGCACAGTGAATTAATAAACTGAAGTTGTTCTGTTACAACTTTTAGAATACAGATTTGCTTTTTTGGACACTATTTTTTTTCTTGTCTCTGCAATATAAACTTTCCATTCTTGTTTTTGTGTCCCAGAAGAAACATTCTTTATCAGGCTGGTCTAACATTAGTATCAATGTACTTTTTTTTTCACTTTTAAGAGTGAAAAGTCAACTTTTTCGAAGTATTTCAAATCATCCCCGGGCAAGATATTGAATTCAAGCTTGCCAAAAGTGTATTTACATAAGTCTTTGTGAAACAGTGCTTGTATAGATATTCTTCTACGTGTAATTGCATGAAAACTGTCCTGAGTGCCAACATCTATGTGGCATATACAATGTAACGTATAGGCACATAATATATATATATATATATATATATATATATATATATATTAGGGGTGCAACGATACACAAAATTCACGGTTCGGTTCGGTTCGATACTTTGGTGTCACGGTTCGATATTTTTTCGATACAAAAAAAATGTTCATGCCTTTTTAATTTGTCATTTATTAAAATTATAAATATATATTTTAACTCAAAAGTACAGTTTTTAAATTTAATGTTGCTGAAACAACAAAGTAATAAAAAAATAAATAAATCTATCTGATCGAGAAATCACTCATCTTTGGAAAAGAGAGTTTATTACAGAGAAATGGCTCTTTCCAAAATAAAAGCTATACTATACGCTTCTTCTGGGCTATATTCTCAGCAGCATATTAAACATATCAGGTCCCCATAAGGAGAATCATGTGCTAACGGCTGTCTAAATGACTCTAATGACAATTCTATTGAAATGTTTTGAACTGCCAGTTGAAGATGCAAAGATAAAAAGATTTTAAAAAAAAGAAAAGAAAACAACAACATTCCTGAACAACTTTTAAGTCAGTTTCATGGTCCAGTCATCAGCATTGTTAGTCAGCATTCCACTGATGTGAACAAATCAGATGTCAAAATATTATCTAACAAGCTTTGAATTCAAATACTTATGATGAATAATCTGAAAATGCATAAAATACATAACAAGCATTTTGAGATTAACTATATATATTTCCATAAATCTTCAATAGATGTTTTTAATATCCTCTTCCTACTTTCCCACTGTGACAAAAAATACAGACAACCAGATGATGTCTGTCTTGTTGGCTTTCACTTTGGAAGAGGAACAAAAGACAAGTATTTAAAAATGTATTCATTGCAATGTTATCTTTTCATACAATCCACTGACTTTCAATGTGAGATCTATTTGCTAAAAATGAAACCACAAATCACAAACCACAGATCCTCTGAGCACTCAAAACAGACAGCATCGTCAGAAGGAAAGGTGATAAAATAAATTAAAAATTTTGTATTGTTCGATACATTTGCGTACCGAACGGAAAGCACTGTATCGAACGGTTCAATATCGATACGAATATCGTTGCACCCCTAATATATACATATATTAGGGGTGCAACGATACTCGTATCGATATTGAACCGTGTCGATATTGAACAACAAAAACAACAAGCACGCATGCTACAAACTTTACCCGAGTCATTTAGACAGCCGTTAGCACATGATTCTCCTTATGGGGACCTGATATGTTTAATATGCTGCTGAGAATATAGCCCAGAAGAAGCGTATAGTATAGCTTTTATTTTGGAAAGAGCCATTTCTCTGTAATAAACTCTCTTTTCCAAAGATGAGTGATTTCTCGATCAGATAGATTTATTATTTTATCCCTTTGTTGTTTCAGCAACATTAAATTTAAAAACTGTACTTTTGAGTTAAAATATATATTTATAATTTTAATAAATGACAAATTAAAAAAGCATGAACATTTTTTTGTATCGAAAAAATATCGAACCGTGACACCAAAGTATCGAACCGAACCGTGAATTTTGTGTATCGTTGCACCCCTAATATATATATATATATATATATATATATATATATATATATAATATATATATAAAGAGTATGATAACAACACAATCAGTCCAATTACAAAATATTAATTAATTTTATTCACTTAATTAATTAACAATGTAATAATGCATTATCAATTACAAGTACCATTTAAGTACTTTTTTTTTTAAATGAATCTACTAATGGTGGCAAAGATAATTTGTCAGGTTTAATTGTACTTTTGAACAAAAAAAGTGATTTCCAAAGAGCATCGTATGACGTGTGTTCTTTAAACATTTGAAAAAAAAAATCGAGGACAAAAGTAGAGGTTACAGGCCTAAAAAAAGACATGCTTCAAAAACAACAACAAAAACAACAAAAACAACAACAACAACAACAACAACAACAACAACAACAACAACAACAACAACAACGCTTAGGGGCTGTGGTGTTTTAGATCAATGTGAAGAGCATTTGACTGGAAACAACTTCAACTTTCAGCATGATGATGATTCCAAACATGCAGTGGGAGTGTGTCTGAAGAGGGAGAGAGTATAAATAAAAGCTATGTCAATGCATAAATACTTCCACATCAATTTATAACAAACATTCATATTCTCAAATATTTCAGGTACATGAGGCTGTAATGGGGGCTTGTCGAACATTGACCGTTTTGTTAACCATTCTGGGTAAGTAACTGATTATTTTACAAAAATTAGAATGCAGCTCTTAAAAAAATAAAATAAAATAAAAATACATACATACACAATATGCCACACTTTTCAGTTATTAGCTTTTCAGATTTTAATTTGTCATATTTTAGTAACATCTGAACATATTGTGTAGTAACATGCTTTCATATCATGTCGATTAACAGCTTCTTTTAAGTGTTTTTCTTCTTCTTGATCAGTTTGGCGTATGGTAGCATGATCTATTATCTATTATAGATTATCTATCTATCTATCTATCTATCTATCTATCTATCTATCTATCTATCTATCTAAATGTCTAAATGTCTAAATGTCATAAATATCTATATATAAATATGTCATAAATATCTATATATACATACATATGCATGCGTTTTCAGTAGCATGTGTGTTAAGTGTAATCATCTGTCTACTTTTCACAAATAGTGGCAATTGAGGTTGCTACTACACAAACTGTTGCACAAAACTGTGGTTCTGAAGGTTCAACTGCAACTACATTATCTGAAGAAACTACATCAACATCAACTGAATGTTCAACTTCAACTACAGAAACAACAGCAACTGAAGGTTTAACTGCAACTACATCATCTGAAGAAACTACAGCATCAACAACAACTGTCATTACGGCACAAACAACAACTGAAAGTTCAACTGGAACTACAGAAACAACATCATCAACAACTACTGAAGGTATAACTGAAACTACAGAAGCAACTGCAACTACAGCATCAACAACTGAAAGTACAACTGAAACTGCAGAAACAACAGCAACTACAGCATTAACAACAACTGAAGGTTCAACTGCAATTACAGAAACAACAGCAACCACAGCCTTAACAACAACTGAAGGTACAACGGCAACCACAGCCTTAACAACAACTGAAGACACAACAGCAACTACACCATCAACAACTACTGAAGGTACAACTGAACTACAGAAACAAACAGCAACTACAGATTCAACAACAACTGAAGGTTCAACTACAACTACAGAAACAACAGCATCAACAACAACTGAAGGTTCAACAGCAAATACAGAAACAACAGCAACTACAGCATCACAACACTGAAGGTACAACTGAAACTACAGAAACAACAGCAACTACAGCATCAACAACAACTGAAGGTTCAACTGCAACTACAGAAACAACAGCAACCACAGCCTTAGCAACAACTGAAGGTACAACAGCAACCACAGCCTTAACAACAACTGAAGGCACAACAGCAACTACACCATCAACAACTACTGAACGTACAACTGAAACTACAGAAAAAACAGTAACTACAGATTCAACAACAACTGAAGGTTCAACTACAACTACAGAAACGGGAGCATCAACAACAACTGAAGGTTCAACTGCAACTACAGAAACAACAGCAACTACAGCATCAACAACAACTGAAGGTTCAACAGCAAATACAGAAACAACAGCAACTACAGCATCAACAACAGCTGAAGGTACAACTCCAACTACAGTATGTGAAGAAACTACAGCATCAACAACTGAAGGTACAACAGTCATTACGGCACAAACAACAACTGAAGGTTCAACTGCAACTACAGAAACAACAGCATCGACAACTACTGAAGGTACAACTGAAACTGCAGAAACAACAATCATTACGGAACAAACAGCAACTGAAGGTTCAACTAGAACTACAGAAACAACAGCATCGACAACTACTGAAGGTACAACTGAAACTGCAGAAACAACAGTCATTACGGCACAAACAACAACTGAAGGTTCAACTAGAACTACAGAAACAACAGCATCAACAACTACTGAAGATACAACTGAAACTGCAGAAACAACAGCAACTACAGCATCAACAACAACTGAAGGTTCAACTGCAACTACAGAAACAACAGCAACTACAGAATCAACAACATCTGAAGGTTCAACTGCAATTACAGAAACAACAGCAACCACAGCATTAACAACAACTGAAGGTACAACTCCAACTACAGTATCTGAAGAAACTACAGCATCAACAACAACTGAAGGTCAACAGCTACAGCACAAACAACAGAAAGTTCAACTTCAACTACAGAAACAACAGCAACTGAAGGTACATCAGCAACCACAGCATCAACAACAACTGAAGGTACAACTCCAACTACAGAAACAACAGCAACCACAGCATCAACAACAACTGAAGGTACAACTCCAACTACAGTATCTGAAGAAACTACAGAATCAACAACAACTGAAGGTACAACCGTCATTACAGCACAAACAACAACTGAAGGTTCAACTGCAACTACAGAGACAACAGCAACTACAGCATTACCAACAACTGAAGGTTCAACTGCAACTACAGAAACAACAGCAACTACAGCATTAACAACAACTGAAGCTACAACAGTCATTAACACAAACAACAACTGAAGGTTCAACTGAACTACAGAAAAACAGCAACTACAGCTAACAACAACTGAAGGTTCAACTGCAATCTACAGAAACAACAGCAACTACAGCTTTAACAACAACTGAAGGTACAACAGCAACTACAGCATTAACAACAACTGAAGGCACAACAGCAACTACACCATCAACAACTACTGAAGGTACAACTGAAACTACAGAAAAAACAGCAACTAGCATCAACAACAACTGAAGGTTCAACTGCAACTACAGAAACAACAGCAACTACAGCATCAACAACAACTGAAGGTTCAACTGCAACTACAGAAACAACAGCAACTACAGCATCAACAACAACTGAAGACAACAGTCATACACAAACAACAACTGAAGGTTCAACTGCAACTGCAGAAACAACAGCAACTACAGCATTAACAACAACTGAAGGTTCAACTGCAATTACAGAAACAACAGCAACCACAGCCTTAACAACAACTGAAGGTACAACAGCAACCACAGCCTTAACAACAACTGAAGGCACAACAGCAACTACACCATCAACAACTACTGAAGGTACAACTGAAACTACAGAAAAAACAGTAACTACAGGTTCAACAACAACTGAAGGTTCAACTACAACTACAGAAACGGGAGCATCAACAACAACTGAAGGTTCAACTGCAACTACAGAAACAACAGCAACTACAGCATCAACAACAACTGAAGGTTCAACTGCAAATACAGAAACAACAGCAACTACAGCATCAACAACTGAAGGTACAACAGTCATTACGGCACAAACAACAACTGAAGGTTCAACTAGAACTACAGAAACAACAGCATCGACAACTACTGAAGGTACAACTGAAACTGCAGAAACAACAGTCATTACGGCACAAACAACTGAAGGTTCAACTAGAACTACAGAAACAACAGCATCAACAACTACTGAAGATACAACTGAAACTGCAGAAACAACAGCAACTACAGCATCAACAACAACTGAAGGTTCAACTGCAACTACAGAAACAACAGCAACTACAGCATCAACAACAGCTGAAGGTTCAACTGCAACTACAGAAACAACAGCAACTGAAGGTACATCAGCAACCACAGCATCAACAACAACTGAAGGTACAACTCCAACTACAGTATCTGAAGAAACTACAGAATCAACAACAACTGAAGGTACAACAGTCATTACAGCACAAACAACAACTGAAGGTTCAACTGCAATTACAGAAACAACAGCAACCTACAGCTTACAACAACTGAAGGTTCAACAGCAACTACACCATCAACAACACTGAAGGTACAACTAAACTACAGAAACAACAGCAACTTCAGCATCAACAACTGAAGGTTCAACTGAAACTACAGAAACAACAGCAACTACAGATTCAACGACAACTGAAGGTTCAACTACAACTACAGAAACGGGAGCATCAACAACAACTGAGGGTTCAACTGCAAATACAGAAACAACAGCAACTACAGCATCAACAACTGAAGGCACAACAGTCATTACGGCACAAACAACAACTGAAGGTTCAACTAGAACTACAGAAACAACAGCATCGACAACTACTGAAGGTACAACTGAAACTGCAAAAACAACAGTCATTACGGCACAAACAACAACTGAAGGTTCAACTAGAACTACAGAAACAACAGCAACTGAAGGTACATCAGCAACCACAGCATCAACAACAACTGAAGGTACAACTCCAACTACAGTATCTGAAGAAACTACAGAATCAACAACAACTGAAGGTACAACAGTCATTACGGCACAAACAACAACTGAAGGTTCAACTGCAATTACAGAAACAACAGCAACCACAGCCTTAGCAACAACTGAAGGCCCAACAGCAACTACACCATCAACAACTACTGAAGGTACAACTGAAACTACAGAAACAACAGCAACTTCAGCATCCTCAACAACTGAAGGTTCAACTAGAACTACAGAAACAACAGCAACTACAGATTCAACGACAACTGAAGGTTCAACTACAACTACAGAAACGGGAGCATCAACAACAACTGAGGGTTCAACTGCAAATACAGAAACAACAGCAACTACAGCATCAACAACTGAAGGCACAACAGTCATTACGGCACAAACAACAACTGAAGGTTCAACTAGAACTACAGAAACAACAGCATCGACAACTACTGAAGGTACAACTGAAACTGCAAAAACAACAGTCATTACGGCACAAACAACAACTGAAGGTTCAACTAGAAACTACAGAAACAACAGCATCAACAACTACTGAAGATACAACTGAAACTGCAGAAACTACAGCAACTACAGCATCAACAAAAACTGAAGTTTCAACTGCAACTACAGAAACAACAGCAACTACAGCCTAACACAACTGAAGGTACAACTAAGCTACAGACAAAACTACAGCATCAACAACA